GGGGGGGGGGGGGGGGGGGGCATCACCTGCCCACTGTTGGCCTTTCGAGGATCGGGTCAGGGTCGAATGGCTGGGCACGCTCGCCGCCTGCCACCAAATCGCTCCAGAAAAGCGTGTCTCCGCGTCGCAGCACACGCCCCGAGCCGGAAGCTGCCGAGGATCGCTGGCTGCCGGCATAGCCAGGAGGCTGGTGTGCACGGCCGTGGTGGCCAGCCTGACGGTAGTCGCGCTGCTGGTAGTACTGCTGGTGGGCGAGAGCCGCGTTGGCTTCGGCCTTTTCAGCCTCGAGATCGTCGTCGTCAAACGAGGGGACGTTCATGCGGTGCACGTCGCGGCGCGAAGCATTGCTGTGGCGGAACAGATCCGCCGCCGCTGCATCGAACCTGCTCTCGGCGTACATCTGCATCGGGCTGTGTGTGGCGACGGCCTGCATGACGCGAGGAGGCTGGGCGCGCACTCCAGGCTCGCCAGGAATGTAGCGACGCTCTCGCACCGCAATCTCGGAACAGTGCAGAACCGTGCGGTGGCCGTTGGAGCTCCTCGAGTGCTTCATCACACTGCTCGTGCAACGCGTGCACGGCGAGATGATGTTGTACCCAACCTGCGCGCCACAGCCGTAGCAGCCCAGGCTCTGCGTCAGACAGTCGCACGTGCGTTCCACCGGTGGCTCGTTCGGATCCGCGCCGCCGTGGAACGCAGAAGCGGCAGTAAAAGGTCCACACGTCGACGGCACAATGTCGGTGCTGTACAGCGTGATGTTGGGCTTGAGCAGCAGCACCGCCTTCATGCCTCGGTCGCTCAGGAAGTTGCCGCAGTGCTTGCAGTTGAGCAAGTACACCTTGTGCTGCGCCTCCTTGCTCGACGACTGCGAGTTGGACGATGTGCTCGATGACTGCGCGTACTCGGCCGAATGCGGCTGCTGCGCAGGCGCACTTCGCGAAGACGACGGCTGTCGCACTCCCAGGTGCGACTGCAGCGCCTGGCGCGTGCGGTACAGTTCGGAATCGTGCATTCTTGCGGCTTGCTGGGGATGGTGAGGATGTTGCACGTCGAGCATCTCCGTGCGCGCCGGTCTCGAAGAAGGGTAAGGCGCAGATCGCTCGTGGGTCAACGACCTTGGCGAAGATGAAGCCGATCGTACCGAGCTGGCTCGCGCAGTCGAGATTCGGATAGGTGCTAGCGCGTACGCTGGTGAGGGCGCTTGCGGCCAATCAGGCAGCAGCGACGCAGCCGGCTGGGATGCAGATCGTGGCGTCGCCGGTGGATTGGACATGGGGCCCGAGCCTCGATGGACCTGGCTCGGCTTTGGCACACGGGCTGGTTTCGCGGCAAGACCCACAAAATCGGTTGGGTGGAATACAGCGAGCTAGATGAGTTCTGCTTTCCGCGCCTTTCACCGTGGTCGAGATGAGCGGCGGACTCCGAAATCGCTGGCTGGAGACGTCGCAGACTACAAAGGAGCTAGGCTGTGCCCAACGCGCTCGCCGAGTTCCAAGTGCGATAACTGTTCAGGTCGAGCGGTAGCGGTGAAACGGAGCAGATATGAGAGCGCAGAGGCGGGGACGAAGAGGTTCTGGGACAGGGTGGGTACGGAGATGGTGTAGGTGGGGAAGGAAGGGACGGAAGAGGTCGAAGGGGGGGTTGCCTTTGATATGCAGAGCAGACGGGTGCTCGAGGCTGGCCGGTATGTAGCGCAAAGAACGGTTCAGGGGCCACACGAGGCAGAGCTAGTGTGAGGCAAGGGCAGGGCGACTCGGTCGATCAATAGTGTGTCGCAGAAAACGCAGGGAGCGCGGCCAGTGGACAATGGCGGATGCTGGTGCTGTCGCTGTTGCTGACAGTGGTCGACAAGGAGGGGCGGGTGCGCGAACAGGGCGTTGGGTGATGCTTTGTGTCGCTATTGTTGGGAGGGAGGGTGAGTAGGAGCGATGGCGGCCTAGGCGGGCCAAGCTGGACGCCTTATGAAGTATCCAGCGTCGGACAGGCGCACCGATGCACGAGGCAGGGGGGCCAAGGCAAGGCGGGCGCAAAAATTGGAAGGCCAAGCCGGGTTCCTCACGGGCCACGGCCAAGGCAGGCCATTCTGAAACATGTGTAGCCAGCGCAATGAGCCCACCGTCTCGACATTGGCTTGCGCTTGGGGCTCTCTTCGACATAGTCTGACGAAACTCCTGGCGAAGCGCTCGGGCGGAGAGCAGTGCTCAAGAAAAAAGCCGGGGGCAAGGCAGCAGCGATGAAGCGTATTCAATGTCGGGAGGCATCGCACGACGTGAGCGCACACGCAGCCGGCAAAGCGAGACAGCTTCCAAACGATGGTGACGGAGCAAATTGACAGGGGCGATGTGCGGGAGCAGTGTGTTGGCGCTGCGCATGAGCGGTGCGGACGCAGGGTGAGCACCAATTCTGGATCGTCCGGCTGGCTCACACATGCAGCTGCAGATGAGCTGCAGGGTCAGAGACACTCAACTCGACCACCACCACCAGCATCATCAGCATCATCGCCACCACGTAGAGAGGCAGCGAGCGACGAGCAGCGAAGCAGCTCAAGCTCCGAGACCGGGAGCGAGCGAGCGAACGAGCGAGCGTGTAGAGCGAACGCCAGTATCCTAGGCAACGAGCAGCGCAGGAGCGGACAAAGGGGGGCACAAGAGACGAGGCGGGCCAAAAGAGGCAACGCACGAGGCGTCAGTCATGCCTTGCCGCTGCGAGGGCGGTCGAGGTGGGAGCGCAGAGGTACGGCCGGTCGGTCGCTCGGTCGGTCGCTCGGCCTGAAACGAACCACCACAGCCACGCCGGTACCGCTACGCCAAAAGTATGTAAAAAAGGCGTGGATCGAGCCCCTCCTCCGAGCGAGGGCGGGCGGGGGGCCGCCCATGGTCTCAGTTGGGGGGACCCAGGCTCGGGTCCAGAAATGCTAAGAAGCGTGCACCGGTGACCATTCATGCGTCGGAGGCGCGTCACCACGAAGACGTACCGGAGCGTCACCCAGGCTTGCCGCAGGAGCTCCCTGCTGCTGTAAGGGTCCTGTGCGCTCTTTTTCTTTTTTCCTTCTTTTTTTTCAGTCGATGTCTCTCTAAATTTACTAAAGACACCCAGCGGCGTCGCCTGAGCGGGTGCTTATCCGCTGCCGCCGCCATCGTCTGAGGCTGCCCTAAATAGCGAGGCAAGCCTTGTTCAGGCTGACAGGAGAATCATGCTTCGGCAGATCGGCATAGCTGGGCGGATGGTCTTGGCTGCCCTTCCCTGCCTCTTGCGACGGGTCTCGATGCGGCCTGTGTTCGAGCCCTCCTGATCGTCACGCGCGCGTGCCATTTCATATGGAAGACGCCCTTCATTTCATCTCGAAACGGGGAACCAAACTGCGACACTGCGACATGGCTCGGACGGGTAGCTGACTCGATGCATTGGGATGGCGGCAGTGCGCGCCAGTCGAGGAGCAAACGCCTGCTGGCGTACAGGAGGGGCCGTGTCGGAACGGCAATTTTGAGTCCGTCCGAGGCTCGATGAGAGTCGGGCTTGAGAATGTCAGGCCCGCTCCCCTCGCTCAGGGCCTGTTTTTCGGAGCCTGTTTTTGACGCCGCAGCTTTGTGGCTTGCGCTCCCCGAAGCCCCGCCAGCTCTGATCGTAGCTGGGCTCACCTTACTCTCCGAAAGAGGCCTCTGCGTTGCTGGGATTGCGGCGCCGCTCGCCCGGCCAGCTCGTTTCGGCGTCGACTAAACGAGGCCGTCAACGACGTGCGGATCTGTCTCTGCGGATGATGGCGACAGCCGCGACCAACTGGAAAAAAGCGGTGCTGTGGCGCTACCGCACACCCGATCGCGTGAGCCAAGACAGCTCGAGACTCGCATACATCCCAATAGAGTTGCCTTGGCTGGCTGGCTAGCTGGACTGGCTGGCTGGCTTCTGCATTACTCCGCCTGGCATCGATGCTTCGTGCATGGATGCTCAAAATGGTCGAAACACGGTCTCGAGCCGCCGAAACGCTGCCATTGCTTGGCCGCCTTCGACGTCACGCCGCCGCAAGCCCCTCAGAAGCCTAATGTTAATATATCTGTGTCTGCCAAGACGATCTTGGCTTGGCTGGGCCGTGCTGGATTGGGCTCAACGGCGATGGCTATGGATGGCGCCGGCGTGTGTTCGAGGCGTAGTGTAAATTTACGGCCCGGTATCTGTCGTGTGCCTGAGATGCGGTCGGAGTCGCAAGTGGGCCCTGATCGTGAGGCAGTCCAAGTCAGATCAGATCGGCCATTGACGAGGTGCGAGCTATCCGTTGCGCCGCGTCGTGCGGCTAGCTCGCTCGCTCGCTCGCCGGTTGTGTCGAAAACCTGGGCGATGGGAGAGACGCACAGCTGAGACACCAAATTCGCTCCACCTCCGTCGTCGTTTCGAACCACAACCCCGCGCGCGCGCCTTTTCTTTCCGTGCTCCGGCTTCAACTCCGCCAGGCGCAGCATGACGACTCTTCGGCAGCCCGCTTTTCCCTTTCGACGGCGCGCGGCTGCACACCGTTGTCGCCTGCCCGGGTAACTGACCGGAAGCTTTGTCTTCATCCCCCGACAGCGCCGAAATGGAATCCGCTCGTTCCTGCTTTTGCATGCGGAACAATGGTCGAGGAGGGGCCAAGCCAGCTGCGACCGGTCAAAGCACGACATCACATGTGGCAGAGGAGCGTGGCTCGCCTTTGCTATCCGAGCTATCCTCGCTTCGTGTTTCTCGCCGCAGCAGACAGCGAAGACGAAGAAGGCGGCCAAGCGGCTCGACCGGACCGATCTTCGCGGCGGCACGTCGCCGCCCGAAGCTGGCCTGCACACCCAGGGCTCCTTTTGCGCGCCCTGCAAGCCCGACGATTTCGCGCATGAATTCGCGGCCGCGGTCAGATCGGCGTTGGCCGCGGCCATGCCTTCCTTTGTCGGGCTTCCGCGCGCCATGCCGCCGTTGCAGCAGAGTGCAGAGCGGTACCACAAGAATATGTCGAGCCGATCCTGCCGACCGCCGCGGCGATACAAACATGGTCAGCGCCGATGGCAGGCCAGCCTCCGACCCTCCAGATGATCCCGAGCGGGACCCGATCTTCCCACCGGCTATCGGCAAGCTTGCGATGCCCGGGACCGAGCTCGACGAGGATTCCCAGCCCGACTATGCGGATCTGCCAAGAGGCTTGGACGTACCGGTCGCCTTGTCAGAGCGCAGTCCAGCAAAAAAGCGGCCAAGATTGGAGAGTTTTGGAGTAGAAAATTAACAGAAGAATCAGTAGCGAAAAAAATCCAAGGGCTGCGACGCTTGTCGCGCTTCAGCCTTGCAGGCAGGGCTTCGGATCGGTCACGTTGTCGAGCGAGCCTGGAAGCGTGACGCCAACAATGGCAACGTCGGAGCTGATTCTAAGCTCGCAGGCCTTACCGGTCTAGACTGGCTTCAGACCACGCTAGTGCTTGCGTTTGGCCCTCTGACGAACACAGCCGCCTGGATTCGCATCTGCGCACATCAGCGTCGGGGATGATGTTCAGACTCTCGTGAGACGTCGCATCGTCGCGCCGGCAACCCAGTCTCGCTTGAACGAGGCTCGGCTGCACCTTGGACGGATGGCGAAGAGCGTCGGATACCTCATTTGGGTCGCGGCCATCACGGACATCTCATTCACACCCAGCTTTGGTTTCTGGTGAGCTCGAGGATTGCTGGATATCCCTGCTCGATGGAGGTCGTAGGTCAGCACTGATGTAGGATCGCATTGGTAGCGGTGCCAAGCGAGATCACGATCCGTCAGACGAGACTGCTACAGCTCGCTTGACAAGCGGTTTTAGGTCTGCCTGCATGAGAACCTCAAGCGCGCTTGGCACTTGCACCTGCAGATGCACCTGCAGACACCGACCTCGTGGCCCACACTTGACATACGCAGCTGCTGATTCGTCGTCCCCTCGAGCCCCCGATTTGCGCTTAGATTGGAGGTGGACACAATGCAAGACTCCCGAGTGGCGAGTTCGACGCGCGACGTCGGGCTGCATGCGTGGGTTGCATTCGCAGCTCGAATCGATCGAACGCAAGGCGTCTTGGACAGAAAGCACAAGCTGTACTCGAGACACAACGCAAGGGTTTCAAGAGACTCGGACCCCGAGAGGCCCCTTTGTGGGTGCAAAAGGACACCCACCAGGTGCAGGCTGAGTTGCGGGTCGGGATTGAGCCGTTTTTCCGAAGTGCCGAGAGCCAAAGCCGGTCGGTTGCTCCGACTTTTCGGACCCTCTCGGCAGCTGCCTCTGGCACCGACCTTGTCTCCGGACGTCGGTATTTTTGGACTTGCACAGCTTGAGTGCGACACCAACCCCATCCGAGACGGTCGGGACGATTCGAGATGCTGTCTCGCCCATGGGCAAAGTGCGACACCAAACGCATCAAGAGGCTAGCTGGCATGATGGCGACAAAGAAAAGGTGTTGGTACAGGCCAGGCCTGGCGTTGGCTTTGGGCAGCTTGAGCTGGAAATCATTGTCGCGTGAAATGCTGTTGGCAGGCGGAGGAGCAGTGTGTGCGGCTCAGGACGGGCTGGAATTTTTGAGCAACGTGCAGCGGCTGCGTCTCAGCCATGTCTCAGCCTGGCGCTGCACGTCCGAAATTCGGATAGGCGCGCGCGCCAGCAGTGCAGCAGAAGAGCGCCATGGTGCGGTCTAGCCGTAACGAATGTTACGCGTCGGCTGCGCGTCGGTCGATCCGTCAAGCTCCGAAACCGCCTGTCGCACACTGTCCGATGTGCTGTACAGCTGTACCGTATATCGGACCGTGTTGAAGGAGCAGCTGATCAGGCGCAAACAACTGGGCTTGGGACTTGCTGATGCTCGCATGCGTCTCGACGACTCCGTGCAGCACACCACCGATGGCTGCCATGCTCCCGCCGTCTGAGCCTGGAGCGGCCGTGTGAGCGTCGAGCCAAATTTAGCTCGGCCCGCTCCCATCACCACACCCAGTCCGCACAGTTGACCGTAGCGCCGCATCGCTTGCAAGGCCCTCGCTGCCGCACAGCCGACCCTGCAGCCCGCCTAGGCGCGTTGCGGCTGCCGACGACGACGACGCAAAATGTGGAGCCGACGACCCTGTCTTCCGGTGCCCCTCCCTCCATCACGCCGTGGCTTTGGCTGCCAGACCTTCCGAGCGCCGTCGTCCCGAACCCGCCTTTGCAGCATCATAAGCTTAACAACACCGTCGGAAGATCGATGCCATGGCGGCTGACTTGGACGTTCAGTATTCCCCGCAACGCAGTCCTTTCGGCGCTAATGCACTGTGTGAGCTGCCCCGCTTTGCGCCGGTGCGAGAGCGTGTGTCGGCAGCTACAGTAGCGCCTCTTGCAGTCGAGCCAGCTTGTTCCACCGCCGACGGGATGGTGTGGCTTGACACTGGCGCCCATCACACGATGGCAGCATGCTTCCACCAGGCGCGTCGCATGTGCATGACTGCATCGACCGTCTCATTCCCCGCGGCGACGGCAAACGCCACCATGCTGCCCACCATCTATATTTGGCCTGACTAGTGTCTACAACACCCAGGTGTTCGCAACACATGCCGATCGGATGCGCCACGCCGCAACCCCATTGGAGCGCTTGCAATATCGACGGCGCACACAAGTTCTTGCTCCAGCGGCTCTGCGGAGGTTCGGAAGCCTCGCTGCGTTGGGCCTGCCGAACAACCACCGCTCCCGCTGCAAGCCACACCGCTCGGCTACACTGCCGCGGCCAGCCTCGTTCGGCCCCCGCCCAATTGTCGGACCGACCGACCGACCCCGGCCGTCCCTTCGTCGATCGACTTTCTTACACCCCGATTCCCGATATGTTAGACCGAGCTTTACCACCGGCAATGACAGTCTAACATTTCGCTGCTTTTTCGGAGTGCGGCTGACCCACGACTCAATGTTCCGTACCAAGCATTGGTTTGCATTGCAACCCCAGCCTGATAGACGCAAGCAGCGAGCAGTGCACCACACTACACTCCGCCGATTGCTAGCAGCACTCTTGTAGCGTTAGAGTGGCTCTTTCAGAAGGACAGGAGGCAAGGTCAAAGGTTTGTGCGACCAAGGCGTGCAGGTGCGGGGGAACGGCTGTCGGGCGGAGATCCAAGGCTCGTACGTCGATTTGCAGAGCGGAGGCGCAAAAGGCTCGGGCATCTGAGCCGTGTCAAGAGCCTAAAAATTCCCCCAACCGCCAGGCGTTTGCAAAAGCGGAGCTTGTGGCCATGAGATGAACGTGAGACGCGGCCCAAAGTGGAGGATTGCGGGTGAAAGGTGCATCATCATTGCCTCTAGCCGAACCACGCCTCTTGCTCGAGCCTTCCGACTGCCAGCCTCGGTCGTCCAGTCCGCTCTTCCTGGGCCCCACGTTGGGCTAGCTAGCCTCGCTCGCCCGGCTGCTGCCCTCCTCAGCAAGGACGGATGAAACAGCGCCAGGCACGCCCACCATCCTTCTCATCCACCTTCATCCATCCCGCTCCTTCATCCATCCCGCTCCTTCATCCCGGCCACACCAGCCACTTTCCGATCCGACTCTCCTACACTTCCCAAGGCACTGGATTCCACGGCAGCATCCGCACGTTGCCCCCACAAGAACGCGCCTCGAGTCAAACAACGCACATCCGTCATGTCGGGCAAATTCCGTCTTCATCCTGAACCAGGCACTGAACGTCACGCTCCGTTCCGTCTGGGCTCTGCCATCTACAACACGATCAGGACGGGTGGACTCGGGTCGGGACTGCTCGTTCCGCACGTGCTGCTTCCGATCTACGGCATCTATGTGGTGACGCACCGCTCGGGATACTGGACGCCCGAGTTTGAGCGCGGATTGACCTTTGCGATTGCGCTTCTGCAGGGCGTGTCGTTCGGCTCGGCGATTGCGCTGTCCATCGTGCGATACAGCGCATCGGGCAAGGCGATCAAGGGACGACGCATCGAAAAGACGGCGACGGACAGCGAGGAAAGCTCGCAGCACCGCATCGAGGTCGCCCTTCGCGCATCCATCTACCTGTTTGTCGCGACGATGCTGTGGGAGTACCTCGTTCACTCCAAGTTCTCGCCCATCACAGACGAGCAGGCGCGCCACACCTCGTCCGGATTCCTCACAGCCACCGGCCCGCTGCGAAGGTTCCTCAGCAACGAGAGCATCCTGCCCCAGCCGGACGAGGTTCGCGACCAAGTGTCGGGACTGGGACTCAACTTGGAGGGCAAGGCAAACGACCTGCATAACGCCATCAAGAACTCGCCGCGCATCCACGTGCCCGGCACTCAGGCACCACCCAAGAGCCTCTTCCTCCGCGCCTACCAGAAGGTTTGGTACTCGGTCACCGGCGGCCCCAGCGGCCTCAACCTCGGCCTGTTTGAGATCGGTCCCAACATCCGAAACTAGACTTTGTAGCGAGTCCAACCCGGAACACCTCCGATTCGCGCCGTAACGTACGGTTGTAGAATGCTCCTCTCTCTCTCATTTTGTCCATACTTGGACTGGAATTGTATGTAGCAATGGATTCGCATGATGATGACCTCTTTTGTCACTGCTGTGTGTGCGTGTGGTGGGGGAGCTTAGCTGTTGAACAGGCGCGAATGCAGTTGATCGTGGCGCGCCTGGATGATTTCGCCGAGCGGGAAAGTGGTTGCTGGGGCGGAAGGTGTGGTCCAGAATCCGTGCTCTGGGTCATGCGCTGAGCTGGAGGGATCCTGGTCTTCGGGCCAATCCCAAGCCCAGCCCTGGTGTGGATCGTCATCGTCGACGGCGATGAGCACGCCTTTGCCGACGCGCAGTGTGCCTGTTTTGGCTGGTGCCGCTCCCGCCGCGGGGGAAGCCATGCTGCCCGTATTACGGAACGGCTTGCCTGTGCGCGGACGCAGAACTTGCGGAGGCGGAGGCGGTTCGTCTTCGATCGTATACGCACCTGTCTCCACCTCTCTCGCGGGTAGTGGCTGCAGCGTCTGGCTTGACGTTGGATGGGGGTCGATGACCATACAGCCTGCGTCGTCCATCTCCTGGATGATGTCGTTGACGACGGTGCGCATGTGGAAGCGCATGATCTGGTGCGCCAGGTACGGTCCGAGCGTGTTGAGCCTGATGGAGCTCGAGAAGAGCGCGCGCGCTTGCAGGAAGAGATGCAGATACACGCTCTTGCGCAGCGAGATGCCCAGACAGGCCGCAAACACGCCCCAGCAGATCGGAAGGTGGCCCTGCGGCCCCAGCTGCGCCGAACCGGGAGCCTGCGCGCTCGACCGCCGCACGTCCATCTTGAGCCGGTCTACCAGCTGCGCCGCCAGCTCGATGCGTCTCTCCTCCGCGCGCTGAGTGCTCGCGTGTGGATCGGATGCTTGGGGTGGTGCGGCGTGGCGTTGGCCGATGCGCGATCCGTCAAACGGCTGGCGCTCAAGATCGATCGGCTTGGCAAACGCTTTTGCGTACAGCGTAAGAAGCGCGATCCCCTGCGCCTTGGAGGCTCTTCTGGCAACGTGATTGAGTAGCAGCGAGTGGTATGAGTTGTCGAGCCGCGATACGTCGTCCAGGCACGCCTGCAGAGCTGTACGTGCCTCGCCCTCTATCGCACTGCCTTGTGCGCCGGCGATGTTTTGGGAAAGTTGGGCCTGGACGGCGCTGTCGAGGTATCCTGCAACGCACGCATGCACGCGCGCGAGGAAGGAAAAGCTCGAGCGCGAGTACGAGTGCAGCGTCGAGCGTGCAAACGAGAGTGTGGCCGAAGACAGTTCGGCCTGCGACGGCGCCATGCGCTTGGCTGTCGCCGACGAAGACGACACGCCAGCCGTGTCGTGCGAATGCGTCGGAGGCTTTGCGATCGTATGAAGCAGTCCGTGTGCGTGAAACGATTCGAGGCCCGACGATGCGACGAAGCCGCCCGTAGGCAGGTTCGAGTCCGACAGGAGCAGAAGCAGATACGTCTCAAAGTCGCTCTCCTCGGTCAGAGATCCCCGAGGATCCGAGGCGCCGAGGGAGGACCCTGCCATGGATCCGGACGTCATGCGCCCCATCGGAAGCATCGTCGAGGTCGAACTTGGCGCTTCTGCCGCGATCCGCCGAGTGACTGGGATATGGGAAGCATGGGAGCACTCGCGACGCTCGGATCAGCTCAAGTGTAGCCTCGTCCAGGCTGGGCTTCGTGTGGACCCTGGAAGACACGCTTATCTCCCGATCGCTCTTGACTCTCCATTTTGAGCTCGATTTCTTGGGCCTGTATTTTTTTTGACGCTTTTGCCTGAATTTGTCGGTGCTTTTCGGCCATCTGGCCGGAGTGGAGGTTCAAATACCCGAAAAGTATTGCCGCTTCCAACCAGTTCTACCGAGAGCTTCCTACATGCATCTTCTTGTCGACCACCACCTCACCGTCGTACACGATCAAGTCAACGCCCAGAAATGACGGAAGACACTGCTCGACAAGCTCGAACTCCTGCAGCGAGGTTGCGCCAGCTGATGCGCGACGAAGACATCGTGGTTGCGCCTGGCGTTTTCGACGGCATCAGCGCACGCATGGCGCTGGCAGCGGGCCATCATGCGCTGTACCAGACTGGAGCGGGCACCTCGGCATCGCGACTGGCGCGTGCTGACTTGGGATTTCTCGGAATGTCGGACATGGTCGGTGCAGCAGGCGTGTCGATCATGGCGGATCCGACCATGACGACGCCCGTGATCGCCGATGCAGATACCGGCTTCGGTGGCGCACCGCAAGTCGTAAGTTTCACCCTCCCTCACGAGCATTCTGGTCTATAAAAGTAGCGGAGATACTGACGCGCGATCGGTCTTGTGGTCTTGGCAGGCTCGCACGGTGCAAGAGTACCATCGAGCGGGTATCGCCGCTCTGCACATCGAGGATCAGGTGCAGTCGAAACGGTGCGGCCATCTCGATTCCAAGCAGATCGTCTCGCGCCAAGACTTCATCTCTCGTATCCGAGCGGCCGTACACGCACGAGACTCGCTGCCCTGCGTTCCCGAAGACCGCATCCTCATCATCGCTCGTACGGACGCTCTAGCTGTCGAAGGCTTTGACGAGGCAATGGATCGTCTCTCCCTCGCCCGAGATGCTGGGGCCGATATCGGTTTCCTCGAAGGCATGAATTCCAGCTTACAGGCCTCCACAGCTATTCGCAAACTCCCCGGCTGGCCTCTGATGGCCAACTGCGTCACGGGCGGTAAATCTCCCCTATGGACAGTTGAGCACGTCAAGCTCATCGGATTTAAAATCGCCATCTTTCCATGCGCCGGCATCTTCCCCGCCGCAAAGGCCCTCCTGGCATCCTACTCGCACCTGGTCCAGCACGGAACCGGAATCGAAGCACAGACTGATGCGAGCAAAAGCACCCTCGACCTCGGAGGCGCAGACCCCGCAGGACTCCGAAACTTTTTTGCCAGCATGGGCCTCGACCACGAAGTCGCAATCGACCAACTCGCCGCAGGCGGAACAGGTCTTGGCAACGTCTGATCCCCTCGCACAGCCACAAAAACAGCAGCATACGAATGAGAATCAAATTGTTCTAGAATGCCTTGACATGCACAGGGTGGTATCATGAAAGTATGCATATGCTCGTCAAACCGGGTTGTGAGTGCTGATCGTGAGTGCTTGGTGTAGATTGGACGGCGGAGGCAGGGCTAGACCCGTGCCTTGGGCGGGGCACGAGATGCGCGCAGGCCGACGATGTCGCAGTAGATGGCGACCAGACCGACAAGTGCCGCGACGATGGCGCACGCGATGGCGCTGTTGTACAGCGTGCACCAACCCTCGGCCGTTCCGGAGGGGCACTTTTTACCCACGCCGAGCGCCATGACGGCCGCCGCACCCCACAGCAGGCACATCACCACATCCCACGCACAGTCCCACTTGAGACTTGTGCGCGCCACGCGCCATCTCGCCTGCAGCTTCATGTTGCCCAGCATGCCGAGCTTCTGCCGCTTCTTGGCACGCCGCTTCTTGCGGCGGCGCTCCTCGCCCGGCAGCGTCTCGTCCTCGTCGGTCTCCGAGTCGCTCTCGTCGGCACGCTGCCCCAAGAGGCTTGGGTCGACAATCAGGTTCACGGTGGTGCCCTGCTGCATGGCACTCTTGCCCTTCTTGCCAAACATGCCGCCTTTTCCAGGCTTGCCGCCCGCGCCTCCCGCCATGATCGGTATCACCATGCCGTTGCCCGCTCCGCCGCCGCCCATGGGAGCACCACCAGCATCACGACCGGAGCGGCAGGGCTTGATGGTGAAGAGGTAGAGGCAGATGATGGTCGACAAGGCCGAGACGCCGTAGAGGACGAACGAAGGCATGGTTCCTGATGGCGGTGCTTTTTCCTGTGGATGGATCGCCAGAAAGCCGCCAATGCCGCACCCGGCTGCAACTAGAGAGACGAGGCATTGCAGCACGCGTGTGGTGATGCGTGTCTTGCGTCGTGGCAGCACCAGTCGGCCTTTGGCATTGACGCCACCGATTGGGACCACCTCGGATTCGTCGTCGTCGTCGTCTTTGTCGTCGTCATCGTCATCGGCACCTTTGCCCTTGCCCTTGTGTTTCACTTTAGGTCCGAACTCCTTCTCGAGCATGCGAATGCGTTCCTCCTTGACTTGATCGTGCGTTGCTGTACGTCCATACGGGTACGGACCGTAGGCGCCCGGAGGTCCTGGATAGCCGGGACGGTGGTGGCTGATCGTCTCGCTCTCCCAGCCGCTCTGGCCCGAGCCAGGGGGCACCATGGTGTAGGCATGCCCGTCGGCGGAGAGATGACCGCCATACCAGGTGTGCGACCAGTTTGGAAAGCCGGGCAAAGGATCGCCAACGCGGGCGCCAGACTGAGCGCGTGGGTCATCGAAGGGACGTGGACGGCCGCCGGGCGTGTGGTGTGCGGCGGTGACGTTAAACATGTTGGGTGGCTCGGACGCTGGAGATGAGGCGGACGGGGCCATGAGTGGAGAGGCATAGACCGGCAGGCTCTGGCGAGATCGGCCGCCGAGGGTGTGGCTCGAGGCTATGGAGGGCGAGCCGAGGCTGGGTGCAGGACGATATTGTGGGGCGGGTTCGTACAGCCCGGGTGGCTCCATGTAGAAGCCACCGTCGTAGTGGGCGGACTCGTAAACGGGCATGGTGGGCATGGGAGCATGAAAGTCGTCATGGCGCGGATCGTGATAGGCGTCGAAGCGACCGGGTGCTTCGGAGAGGGCTGCGTGGGGCCCCCAACGTTGCTCCTGGGCAGCTTGGTTGGCGGCTGCGATTTCGCCCAGATCGCGCTCTTCGTACTCGTCGGATTCGTCGCGTCCATGTGCGGGGAGAGAGGCGAGAGGACTGCGTGGTGGCTGGCCATAGGGTGGTCTGGAGCTGCCAGCCTGTGATGGTGGTCTGCTACTTTCACCGCTGTAGCGTCGCGCGTTGTTGTGGTGCTGTTGATGTGGATAATGAGGTGACGAGGCTGAGACGGGCGGGTAGGACGGGTATGAGCTGCGGGCCCCTTGGGCACCATGGTCAGCGTAGTACTGCATGGTGACGGTCGAAATGCAAGTTCAACGAGCAAGCGAAGGCTTGTGGAGAGGCCGTCGGATACAATCACTCCGGATGCTTTACTGCCGTTGCTGCATGGTGTCGTGGAGCCTCGGGGTAGCCGTGTGTAATGAGCCTTGTTGGCAAGGGTGAGCCGGGAGGGTTGGTACAGTTTTGGTGTCCTTTGGTGCTGGCTCGATCTTGGAAAGCGGAAGAGGACGTGCAGCTCAAAAGACAGACGTAGAAGGAGCAAGTTGTGGGTCGGGCGTGAGAGGCCGAGAGTCGAAGGTGAGCGGATGAAGGGGTGATGCAAGGTATGTCGACGCCTGTGATGGGAAGGTGACAAGGTGGAAGGGCAAGGTTGCGGAGGAGCCGAAAAGGGTTCAGCTGCAAAAGCTGCCGCGTCTCATGCTGGCGTCGGAGCGAATGACTTGCATCGCTTTGCCGCTCTTGACTGCCACTCAAGCGGTGCAGGAAGCCGTCATCCAGCCGACTCGTCACTTCCCAACAATCTCACGCAGTGCCAACAGGATCCGGAGAGGGCGACGCTCTGCGCTCCCCATCCTCCGCATCCAATCCCACGCAAATATGACACGAGCGGGATGAGTGGGCGCCTGCGTGTCAAAGCGGCCTTGGCGATCCACGGACTTTTCGAGCTTCATCTGCAATACTACTCGGGCGGCGGCGCTTCTTTGCAGATCTGCTGCTGCACCGATGAAGAATGACAAGCCTGAATGGGCGGCGCAAAGTGCGCTAGCCAAAGCTCGGTCGATCTTGGCAAGGGCGGCGAGGGCATGGCAAAGCCAAGAATGAGCACGAGGCCCTCGACCCCTGTGTTTCCTGCAGCCAGCTGCACCACTCGCGCTGCCAACCTGCCTAAAATGGCCGTGTTGTTGGTTTCGCCTGCTCGAGCGGGTTGACAGCCTCGCTTGTTGCATCTTTTGAAGTGCTGCACCCCTGTTGGCCTCCACATCCTGCAGATCCTCCACGCCTTTTTCTCGCAACGACTCGCTGCAGCGTGCGTGACCCTGAAGCGCCGATGTTTTTCTTGCTTTCCAAAATTGGAGAGGCGACGAGGGAGAGCGTGTTTTGGGCCGGCAGCAGGCAGCCGTTCAACTTCCACGCGGTCCGAGCCGACTCAGGGGCATCAAACCGCACAGCCTGGCTGCCAGCCGCCCCGCCCAGCGCAGCCCAGCCTTTGCCGCGCTCAAGGCAGGCCCGTCTCTTTCGTCTTCACGCCGAGCTTAGCCAAGGCCAAAGCCAGCGTCACCCTTCGCCCCTGTCAACCCTCGCCTTGGCCCTCGCCGTTCGGCGCACACCTCCGAGCCAGAATAGCGGTGCAGTCTATTTTAAAATCCATCCTGTTAGAGTGCGAGACGATGTGAAACCAGCCGTCGTTCCATTTGGTTCATTTGGCGACGCTGTACCTCGGCCGTCACTCCTTGGAGAGCGACTGGCATTGGATCTCTTTGTCCAAGACTGACGTTGACCTCGCGTCACAGCATCTCGCTAGCTGAACTCAGAGTCTTGCATCGGGTCCGAGCCGGGCGACGATGGTCGGGCGACCGCGGGTGGCTGTGTCGTGCGAATCAGACGCTGCTTCCTCTGCTTGGAGGGGAAAATCGCGCAGCATCGGGGAGGTCGGGCGCGTGCGCTGCCTGTTGCTGCTGCCGTTGTTGAATCTTGATGCGCGAGCGCTTGTTTTGGCGGTTTGTAGAATGTAGTTGGCTAACGCTTTGCGGCTTCCTTGCGAAGGCTCTCGACAATGGCCTTTGTTGCGAACATCGAGCGCAGGTCAAGAACGACCGATGCGTCGTGAGTTGTGAGATCAATCAAGTCATGAACGGTAATGGCAGATTGGCAGGTTAGACTTCTCTTTTCCTCGCTGTCGCTCATTTCAAGACGACAACTTACAGCAACGGCTTCAGCATTCACGCCGCTTTCTATAAGCTCTGTGCAAGCTCGAAGTTGTTCGCGGGAGAGCCCCGTGTTGAGCAGCTGTGAGAGATCATGCAAGACTGCGATGCAACGAGCAGATCAATCAAACGACAGGACGCACATGTCAGCTTTCATGCGATAGCCTCAGCCAGCGACGACACCACTCACTGTCCATGGTCTCCTGACTTGCGGTGCCGCGTTGATCCTCCATACTGATTGTGTGTGTGTGCGAAAGAGGCCGGAAGCGAACCGATGCGATGGTGGCTGACGGCAGAGAGGGACGATGGAGAGCCAGCGCGCCTGTCTTCTTTGCGCCGCGATTTTGGGCGCGTGCAGGCAGGGTCTCCCAAGTGTTGGTCTGAGCACTTTACGCGTCTCGGAGCACGCGTCCGGTTTGGTCGCCAAAAGAGGCCGAAAAAAAGAAGCTCGGCGGGCGGTGGGCAGTGCGGAAACCTGGCTTGTGTGGAGCAGCAGCCGCAGCGACTGAGCGACTGAGCGTGGGCGAAACTGATCGTGTGCGCTCAGCCCGAGCAACACAAGCTTCTGATCCGCAGTGCCATCCTTCGCGCCTTCATCGACAGCCTCATCCACTCCAGACTGGCCGACTCAGCGGCATGCCAGCGCCGCTGTTCGCACCGTCCACGCCCCTCCATCGCTTCTTCGCGTCTAGTCTGGAGCCTACTATCCCCCACCATGCCAGCCCAGACGCGCGCGTTGGACAGCGGCGCGCTCGGGGCCCTGCTTCGCAAAGTAGTCGGCAGTTGTGACGGTATCCACTCCGGCCACAATGGAGACCAATCATCATCGGCTGCAGCCGAGCGCGTCCGTGGTCATCACGCCGACCATGCTTCCGCGCTCGCAGCTGCTTCCCAATGCCTCGCACAGGACTTGCAAGAGGACCGTCCATCTGATGCCGCCATCAACGACGCACGCGATGGCTCTCATACCGAGGAGTCGATCGCACACGCCCTCAATCGTCTTCTCATCTCCGGCGTTCTGACCTCACTCACACACTCATCCCTACCAAGCCGCCAAGATGTGGATGCACACGCAGGCACCGCCGGTATCGGCATCCGTCAAGCGCTCGACACTCTCTCGCGCACGCTCGCATCGTCTCCAAAATTCCTCGAGCACCTCTTCGAGCCATCATGCCAGTCTTCCACCTCAGCACCCTCATCCAGCGCGGTCACCCTCGACATGTCCAACACCACCTTTGACGTCTGGGCAGCGCCGCGTCTGCTTTGCGCCGCCGCCTCCATGGTCTCCGCAAGTCGCTCCACACCTGCCGTTGCCAGCTCAGACTATTCGCAGCGCTGCTACGATCTCTCCGTAAACATCATGGACAGCCTTGAGCTCCTACTCGCAACTTCGATCGACGCCGTCGGTCAGCACGACAATGTCCGCCTCATCCTTGCCGAGTGCCTACGAGTCTCGGTACAGGCTCTGGCACAAACAGGTCAGACCTCCTTCAGCCCGCGCGCACAGCTTCCCGACTACTTTGTACCGTCTGTCGACCTCAAGCGGATGCTCTCGACCGCGGGTCCCAGCGCCAAGTTCTTCGGATCAGCCACTCCTGCCCCGTCCTTCCGCCTCAGTTCCCGAAAGGACAGACCCAAGCCCAGCGGCAAGAGCTTGTCAGCCCTCTCGTCCCTGCGAATGGACGCAGCGTTCTCTTTCCCTCTGCTTGTCGACTCGGACTCCCAGCTCGATCCCCATGCTCGGGCATCGGCCATCACAGATCGAGCGTCTGCCCTAGTCATCTCTTCCATCGATCTCACGCTCCGACTCGCAGAGAAGTTCCCGTATCTGGTCCTCGACCTTGCTGATCATGCCATGCTTCTTCTCAGCGAGCTCTCGCTCCACAGATGGACTCGCGCCAAGCAAAAGCATCCCTGCCCGGCTTTGCACACGCCCTGGGCCGCCCATGCCTACGATGTCCTGTCCCGCCATGTCGGCTTTGTGGCCGAATGCTCTCCAGCCAGCCTCATGCGCGTCCTCCAAATCGGCGCCGAACACATATCCGCTCTCTCCGATGTCACAGAGGACCCCCATCTCGATGACAGACAACGCTTCGAGGTCATCCAATCGCTCTACGCACTCGGCTCCTTTTTCTCTGCCTGCGCAACAGAGACGCCAAAACAGCGACACACAGAGCTGGCGTTGGTGTTGCAGCCCTTCCTCGGCCTCCTCACACGTCAAGTCCGCTCGGACACGGATCAAGCCACCCAGCCGGAAAACGATCTTCGATCTTCAGCACTCCGTTGCTTCCTGGCAGCAACCATCTTGTGTGTCGCCTCGGGCACCTGTCGCTACGACGTTCAACTATTGCAGGATCTTGATGCGCACATCGTCGAGCTTCTCCGGCGTCGCAACACCAGCCCCGACACGCAAGAGCTTCCCAGACAGCAGCATGACTTAAGGCAATTGATCGCCCTCCGTGATGTTCTGAGGACGTTGAGCAGCCCTCAACCTGTCTCTCCGAGCGCAGACGACGGCCAGTTCCGCTCCCGCCTGAGATCTCTCAAAAGACGGAAGCTCGGCAATCCCGCGTCGTCAAGCAAGGCTCGGGCTGTCATCGAGTCTCTGCTCCCGATCGAAGCGACACTTCAAGAGCCTGGCGAGGGCCGTGAACTGGCCCGGCGCCAACTCATCTTGCGATCATGCCACGGCAAAGAGGGCGCTTCCAAGAAAGACAATCACGAGCCCGGTGGCTGTGTCTGCGAAGATGCTGTGTCCGAGATCGGCGAAAGCGAAGGTGGTCCCGAAGCCTCGGCCGGATCAGCACTCATCGACCCAGAAACGGTGACTGCGCTGTGGGACGACGTTTCGGCGGCACTCAAAGCGTCCAAGGTGAAATCGGCTCGAACCGTCGACATCGTACGCCGATACGTTGCCCACGCTCCCGAGTCGCCGCAATTCCCGTCCGATCTCGATGCGGTGGTGCACAATGTCGTCGCACGCACCGTGCGGTCGCCATCGAGGGGCACACGCTTGGCAGCCAACGAGCTTGCCATGGCCTGGCAGTGTCGCTTGTTGCGTCAACGCAACGAGGGTAACGAGGCAG